ATGTTTAAATAAACTTTTCTTCCCCTTTAAAAAAAAAAAAAAAAAAAAAAAAAAAAAAGAACAACACAAGGATATTCACGCTCACCAGGCCTCATCAATAATGCATTATAATTTCAACCCAGGGCATTAAGGTAGAAAAAAATAAATAAAAAGCACCCAGGTAGGGAAGAAAGAAGTAAAACTATTTCTATTTGCAGGTGACATAATCTTACAGAAAATCCTAAGGAGTCCACAAAAGAAAAACTCTCTAGAACCAGTAGGGTTCACTGGGGTCACAGGACGTAGCACCAATGCACAAAAATAAATTGTATTTCTACACAGTGGCAATGAACAATCCAAAAACTGAAATGAAGAAAAGAATTCTATTTACAGTAGTATCAAAAAAGAATTAAATATTTAGAACTAAGTATAAGAATGGTAAGATTTTTACATCAAAAAATACAAAATCTTTCAAAAGAAATGTTAAAGGGCCTAAGTGCACAGAAAGACATCTGTTTTCATAGACTAAATTTTGTTTGGATGGCAGTATTCCCCAAATCAGTGCTTATCAAAATCCCACTCATTTTTTGCAGAAATTGACAAGTTGACCTGGAATTTTACATGGATATGTATTCAGAGACCCAGAATAGTTGAAACAATCTTGGGGAAAAAAGAAAAAAAGTGGAGGATTCCTATTTACCAATTTTAAAATTTACTACAAAGCTATAATAGTCAAGACTATGGCACTGGCATGAGGATAGCATATAGATCAATGGAACAAAAGTTTTGATGAGGTTGTAAGGCAGTGGGGGTCAGAATAGTCTTTCTCAATAAATGGTTTTGGGATAACTGGATATCCACATGCAAAAGAATTAAGTTGGACCCCTCATGCCATACACAAAAATGAGCTCAGAAGTGACCTAGGGCCTAAATATAAGGCTAAAATTATATAATTCTTAGAAGAAAATGTAAGTATCAATCTTGATGCCCATGAACTGGGCAGTGGTTTATTGGATGTGACATGAAAAGCACAAGCAGCCATAATAGATAAACTGGGTACTCTTTAACAATAAAAAGACAATACGGTTAAAAATGGGCAAAGTTTTGAAAAGAACATTTTGTTTCTCGCCTAGTTTTTAATTTACAAAAGTAACTGAGTGATAACGTAAGGAGGTCAATGCTGTTGAAAGAAAAGTTTAATGTTATTCCCAGTTCCCCTAGAAAAGAGAGGCACAGCATAGCACACAGGGCCCCAGAGGAACACCGAGTTTCAGTCAGGAGCCAGGGCCTTGATTGGACTGTCCTTGGGAGGGCAGGGCAGGGTAAGCAGTTTAAGACTGGCTAATTTGAATATTTTTAGCAGACTTTGGGCTATAGGAATAGTCTCTAGTTGCCTAATCCCTGGCCTGGGATGATTTAGGCCAGGGAAAATATTTGCTTGGTTTATGAGTTAAATAAGGAGACAGTTGGGGCTGTAGATTCAGGATTCCTTCTTTTGCATATACACGATGTGCTCGCAAATAAGCTGTTTCCTACCTTTGGTAGTTAGCTAGCCCTGAGAGAGCAGGTCTTCCCCGACAGCAAGTTTTTTAAATTGTAAAGACATCAGATAATACAGAAAATCTGAAAAAAAATGGTTAATTCACATTTCTCTGAAGAAGATACACAAATGACCAGTAAGTACTAAAAAGGTTTACCACACTGTTAACCACTAGACACAGGTGAATTAAAAGCCACTATGAGATGCTACTTCATGCCCACTAATATGACTATAATCGTGAGGATATATAGTAACAGGTGTTGGCAAGGCTGTAGAGAAGTTAGAATTCTCACTCGTAGCTCCTGGGAATGTAAAAATGATACGGCTGCTTAGAAAACCAGTTCAGCATTTCCTTGAAAAATTAGAAGTGCCACATAATGCAGCAGTTTTACTCCATATGAAATGAAAATGTTATTTATAGTAGCCAAAAGTGTAGATAACCCCAGTGTCATCAATTGATAAATAAAATGTGGTGTGCAGGAATGAAGTATTGATACAGGTCACAGTTTGGGTGCACCATCAACACATGCTGAGACACAGAGGCTGCATGTCATATTCTGTTTTTGTGAAATAGCCAAAAGAGGCAAGTTCATAGAGATATAAGGTCAGTCAGTAGTTACCACGGGCTGGGGAGAGGAAGGGGGAATGATTGCTAAAGGGCTTGGGGTTTGGGGGGGGGATAATGAGAATGTTCTGGAATTAGACACTGGTGATAGTTGTACAACTTTGTGAATACTAGATATTAAAAACCACTGAACTGCGTAATTTTAAAAAGTGTCATTTATAATGACTGAATTATATCTCAGATTTTTAAAAAAGACTATAAAGATGGTCTTAGATTTAAAGACTTAAAAGACGATTTAACACTGGGCAGCACAATAAGAAAGCTGAAGGGTAACTTCTAGAATTTCATTGTCCTAGGTGATTCCATTGCTCTTTTGTTTTCTTATTATGTTAATTTAGTCTTGTTTCATTTATAATTGATGAGTAATGATAAAATAATTCCTGAGACAATGAAAAGGCAAAAAATGTCTCTAGACATGGGAAGAGTCCTGACTGCCTATGATGTATTATGGGCTTGTCAGGGATGCGTATTGAGGCCAGTGGGCCAACCTGTATGGAAATTATAAGGTAGAATGAGTTTTATTCTGCTTCTTTTTAAAAATTAAATTTATCTTAGTTCTTTGAAAACTCTAAGAAAGAATAAAAGTCATGAAATAGCAGCAACTCCCCAAAAGTAGTTAGAAATGTTAACAACAACAACAAACCTCAAAAACTAAACCTGGGCCACCCTGATGGCACACTGAGGGTTAAGGAGGTGGCCTCTGCGCGGGGTCTTGCATGGTAGATGTCACTAGCCAGTGCAGGTAGGGATGGTGACAAGAGTGGTGGGATTGTGCATTCCAGGTTCAGTGACCTGGAATTGTCGGGGTGGGCACCACCTTTAACTTGACCGGATAACGGTATACTAGTCTTTGACACAAGAACTGATTGCGGGTCCCAGACAGCATCTGCTCTGAGCTCAGGTGGGCAGGTCTTTATTGCTGGTGGAAGCTGTCTTCACAGGATACGGGCAGCCCTAAGCACTGCTGAGCTCTGCTGCTTTACTTCATTGTTGTTCACAGAATGTCCTGTCTTTCTGACACAGGCTACTTACCAAAAGCTACTACCTCTGTACTTCCCAAGGTCCGTAAAGGAGGAGCACAGGTCATTGCCATACCTGCCTGCCGACATTGGAAACGCAGAAGGGGAGCCCGTGGTGCCTGAACGGCAGATCAGAATAAGTGAAAAACCTGGTGCTCCAGAGGGTGAGTTCCAGGAACAGAATAAGACACCAACCACCGAAGAATTAAGGAGTTCAGCCTGACCTTTGGGAACCTCTCGATGAGCATGACACTAAGATCAAGACCAGCTTAGAAGTTTTTAGTCTTATTCTTGTTGAAATTTATTCTTTAAATTTTAAAATAAAATTATAAATAGGTAGGTAGGTAAACAGATACTGTGTCAAGTCTGTGTTAGGCAGTGGGGATTCAGAGGTGGATACACAACAACCTAATGAAGTTTACATGTGTACAGCCTCGTGCAGGATGCTGTGCAGATGAGGATCATCTAAAATTTTAAACAGTTTTAACAGCGTCCTCTAAAAGCCATGCTTAATGTTAAATACTAAGACAAGAGCACTGTAGTTATTTTATTTCTTCAGGTTGTATTCTCATGTAAGTTGAAGTTAACAGACTTAACAGATTGAAAATACTTAAGGCCTAGATCTACAAGGTGACACTATTTTCTGACATATAAACACAAATCAAGCGCTCTTTCAGAATATTGGATAGAAGAGAACCTTTTGGCTAATGACTTAGCCTTACCTGCAGTCCAGCACTGACGTATCAAGTAGGTTTTGCTACTTATTACTCCTTATCACAGTAAGCTCATTTTATGGAGGAAGAATTATATGGTGGTGACCATTTGATGGTTACAGGCATGAGGATTTCCAAATAACACTAGGTGTTATTTCAAGTCACTTCACTATTGGAGACTCCCCCAAAGTAATATATGTACATATATATAATCTGCTTTACTTGAGGGATTAAAGGAAAATTTATTCCTGGGTAATTTTTAGAGGAAGCAGGTCTTTCTGGTTGTTAGCCAGTCATAGTTTCAAGTGCAATGAACTAAATGTGGGAAAGTCTCAGCTGATGGACCACTAGGCTGTGATTCAAATCACATTGCCTTGGGAAGCTCCCTGTGGTATAAGGTATGTTTTAGGGTATTGCAGGGGTAATATCCCCCATAGGTCTAGTAAGGCGGGAGCCACCACACTAAGACATTGTGTTCCACCAGGCAAACTCATAATGATCCTAAAGATTGATCAGAAAGCTTAGTTACTAACTTGTAGTGAGAACTGTAACTCTCAAACAGACCAAAATGACTGTGTTAGTATATCCAGTGTAGGAAAGCAGGATGCTAAACTATAATTAAAATATCCCTTAGTGATAGTGGATTATATCCTGTGATCCTGGGGCATTCCTCTTCCTTGAAGCATTACCTGACAAAACGGCTGGAGTTTGTGTGCCAGTGAGTCAGGTGCTCCCGTTAAGCAGTGATGTGTAAGGGCTCCCAGTGTTCTTTATATTTCATTTCTGTTAGATGCTATGTGATGAGCCATCGTTAAAACCAAATACAAACTGATGAGTCATTTTGCATATTGGTCCCATCTACTCTTTTCTTTCTAGAGTTATTTGATTTCATATTCCTAAAACTTCTGTCATGCAGAGACAGGCAGTTTCTTTCATTATTTCAGTTCCACAAATACCTAAGTCTGATTTCAGTGTCATTCTCAAAAAATAACCTTAACCCTAGTTTTTGAGTTAACTCATGATCATCTGTATTGCAGCAGTCACAATCTGTTTTATTTACTGTCTAGTTTTGTTGTAAGTTCTCTATTCATAGTAGTATTTTTATTACAGACGACCATGAAGAAGAGGATGAAGGCTTAGGAGTTGATCTCTCTTTCATTGGCTCTCATGCTTTTGCTCGAATGGAAGGAGATATTGATAAGCAAAGAAAATTGATCCTTCAGGGACAATTATCAGAGGCAGCCCTGCAGAAGCAGCATCAAAGAAAGTAAGGCAAGCCCCTTTGGACTGTTAGACCCCAGAAACAAGAAAGGGACCCTGCATCTGTTGAGTGATCTATATGTATACATGATGTGTTCTAATTTATTTTTCATGTCAATCTAGTGAGGAAGATATTTTCCTTATTTTGTAGGTGCAAAAACCCAAAAGTTAAGAAAGTTATCAGTGGTCACAGTTACTGTGTGCTGAAGCCAGTGTTCGGACACGTGTCTGATTTCAGAGTTCCTCCTCTATCTGCTGTAATTGCAGCACACCTCCGTGTGAGGCTGCATTCTAAAAAAAAGCAGAAGCTGGGGGAAGGGAAAGGCAGTTACAAAGCTTTTATTTTACCATATTTTAAACTATAGTCTATAACATTTAAAAATGTTTTATTTCTCCTGGACTTTTTAATGCACCTGATCCATTTCTTTCAGGTGTTCTCTAAAGCAGTTCTGAATACATCTTTTTAAAAACATAGAAGCAGGCTCGGCGCCTGTGGCTCAAGCGGCTAAGGCGTCAGCCACGTACACCTGAGCTGACAGGTTCGAATCCAGCCTGGCCTGCCAAAAAAGGCCCACCAAACAACAATGACGGCTGCAACCAAAAAACAGCCGGGTGTTGTGGCAAGCGCCTATAGTCCCAGCTACTTGGGAGGCAGAGGCAGGAGACTCGCTCAAGCCCAGGAGTTGGAGGTTGCTGTGATGCCATGGCACTCTACCCAGGGCGACAGCTTGAGGCTCTGTCTCAAAAAATAAAAATAAAAAAATAAAACAAAACATAGAAACAGCTTTTGTAGTTTTGGGTAAAGTTTTCTACATTAATAGCCCTTGTAAAGCTAGCTGCTTTTCAAAATTTTGAAGAAAGTAAAAAAATAATAAATTATAAATGGCTGTTCTGCATTACCTTAGGATTGGTTGAGGGGTAACATCTCATGTGGTTGTTTTAAGCATTAAATGAGATAAGGTAATGAGCTTAGCATAATATTTGTCACTGCCATTCTCTTCAACACTGAGCAAATCATGGTCTGTTTTACCTTTGAGCTTTGGTGCTTGCCATTCCTTTTGGCTGACTACTTGCACCTTTAATTTCTGTCCACGTTTCAACTCAGAAGCAATTGCCTTTAGAAACTTAACTTCTGAGTCTGAAATAGATGCTGCCTCCTGCATACTTTTTTGAGACCCTATCCTTAAACCAAAGCAAAATATATAATAGCATTTATCATGCTGTGTTGTAATGATGTCTGAATGCTGTCAGTCTTCACTGATAAAGTAGGAGTTTGACTAAATGATCTATGGAGTCCCTTGCAGAATTAAAATTTTGTATTGGGCAGCACCTGTGGCTCAGTGAGAAGGGTGCCAGCCCCATATACCAAGGGTGGCAGGTTCAAACCCGGCCCCGGCCAAACTGCCACAAAAAAATAGCTGGGTGTTGTGGTGGGCACCTGTAGTCCCAGCTACTTGGGAGGCTGAGACAAGAGAATCACCTAAGCCCAGGAGTTGGCAGTTGCTGTGAGCTGTGATGCTACAGCACTCTACTGAGGGTAATAAAGTGAGACTCTGTCTCTACAAAAAAAAATAAAATTTTGTATCTACTCAGTCCGAGGTCTTCACTATTCTGATTTATTTTTTAGAACAAAAGCAAATTAGCCACTAGGGGGCAGCAAATAGCTTTTCCAAAGAATGCAGTCAAAGCAAATGATAGTTTCTGTGGTTTCTAAACCTGGCTGTGTAATAACCATCTGGCAGGTGTCTTCTTTGAATACAGTGACAGGCCAGGTGCAGTGGCTCACACCTGTAATGCCAGCACTTTGGGAGGCTGAGGCAAGAGGTTCACTTTAGACCAGGAGTTCAAGACCAGCCTGGGCTATAGCAAGTCCCCCTCTCCACAAACATGAATGAATGAATGAAGAACCATCTCTACAAAAATAAGTGAATGCATAACTGAACAGATAAATAAATAACAATTAAATATAGTGACTGGGCTTCTCATGTTCACATGGCTGCGACCTAGAACCAGTGATCTTTTTGGTCTCAGATCTCCTTTGCATTCTTAAAAATTGTTGAGAACCCCAGAAAGCTTTTGTTTACATGGCTTGTATCCATTGATGTTTATCAAATGAGAAATTATTTATTAATTAATTAAAAACAATCATCTTTGTTTGGGGTTTTTGTTTGTTTGTTTTTCTTTTTAGTGATAGTTCTCATTGTATTGCTCAAGTTGTTCTTAACTCCTGGGCTCAAGAGATCGTCCTACCTCAGCTTCCCACATAGCCAGTTATCATGTTTCTGTCTTTGAAAAATAACAATATTTTTCAATATAGTTAAGAATAGCAGTGTTTTGTATTCTTTCAGTGTTTGGCTTAATAAAGGACAGCTGGATTCTCATGTCTGCATTCTTACTGTTACAATAAGTTGTTTGAAGAAAATCTGACCTCATTCAGATACATGTGTATAATTGGAAAAGGGAGCAGTGTCAATATTTTAATAGCCTTTTCAAATAATTGGGGATTATTACACCAGAATTTGATAAATGGTAGTATCTTAAACCTGACTTAAACCTGTGGAATCTCAAGCCATATCCATGAGTTTTTATATTCTGTTACATTAAAATGTGTTGTTCTATATTGCTTTTTTAAAAAACTCTATTATAAAGCAGACTTTATAACATGATACATTTTGTCTTTGGAAAATATTCAGAATCATTCAGATCTTCTAAGTACTAACACATTTTATTGTACAATATCAAAAACATATTTCTTTGTACCGTAACCAATCTCATTAGAAAAGTCTTTAAATATTGGGAATTGGTGGCGCCTGTGGCTCAAGGAGTAGGGCGCTGGCCCCATATACCACAGGTGGCAGTTTCAAACCCGGCCCCAGCCAAAAACTGCAAATAAATAAAATAAATATTGGGAACTTCAGGTTTCTGATGATAATACAAATTTCCACACACACACACACACACATATATTTTAAAGCTCTAGTTTTATCACTGGTAACAAATACTATTGATTGTTTTTCTTGAAATGACAGGGCCACTTTATTTTTGAGAAAATATCTGTCAGATACTCATGTTGAATAACTAGATTGTCGGTCATTGTTTGAAGTAAAAATGGTGTTGCATGAAAAAGCACCTCGTTCAGATCACAGCTGAAATAGTCACCCAGTGCTTTTCTTCAGGGCAACCTCAGACCTCCCTATGCAGAAGTTCTTTCTTCTCATTTCATTATGCAATAATACTAAGAAGTGTGTTCTCAGTGGTTGATTTAGTAAAATTAATAATCTTTACTTTGTCAAGAACATTCTTAAATGAAGCTGGCTTACTTTATTTCTGTGGGTATTTGGCACTGAAGAATTCAATGACGACTACTCTAGTTTGGTGCCTTTGTGCCACTGCCTGGTTTTATGCTAAGGCTGTTACCGGCCACTTTTTACCCAACAGTTACTTTTGTACCATTAGTGAAAAGACAAATAATGTCTTTGTGTTATTACAGAAATATTAGGTTATTAAATCTAAAATGTCCGATTTCAAATCAAGAGTTTAGTTTATTCTACGTCAGACAAGAAGGAGTATAATTAAAATGTGTGCCTGAACTATTAACCCAGTTTTACTATCTTAACCACAGCTTGTTTATGCCAGCTATAGACAAGTCTGGAGAGCAAGTGGCAATAAAATCGCAAAAGGCAATTTCCACAGCTTGTCAAGAATTGACTATTTTTCCTTGTAGCGAAGCCTGGTCGAAAGCCTGGAAGAAGTGGTAGTGAGTGGCTGCAAGGTCTGGTGAATACTGTAGAGGACAGAAAGTTTCCAAGGTCAGCTTCCGTAGTCTGAACACTGTTGTTTGTGTGACATGTGGTCAGCATTGCCTTACAAGAGGACTGGCCTGTTTCTACTGACCAGTCTCTGCAGCTTAATCACAAGCATCCTCATCATTTTGTCTGGTTGGTCGCAGTAGATATCCTCTGTCATTGGCTAACCAGGTTCATGCAGCTGTACTGAGTATTACCAGCACTGGACCACCAGACAGACACCATTAGCTTTTTTTGACTGTCTTTTAGCCCATCATCTTTATCTGATAATTGCGCTGAACACTTACGATTATCAAAAAGAAACCATGTTTCATCACACATGACAATATGGTGTAGAAATGGGTTGCCTGTATGTTGCGAAGAAGCAAAGAACAGTGAGCTTCGAGACAGTTTCTCTTCTGGCACTCATTAAATTCGTTTGGAACCCATCTGTCCCACTTCTTACCTTGCTGATTTGTTTCAAATGGCTCGATATTGTTGGAATAGTAATGTCACACCTTGCTGCTGATTCACACATAGACTGAGATAGATTTTAGCTCATCGTTATCCACTTCGGTTTGAGGTCACCCATGTGGCTCTTTTTTTTTTTTTTAATTAATTTATTTATTTATTTTCCAGTTTTGGGCCCGGGGTGGGTTTGAACCTGCCACCTCTGGCATATGGGGCCAGCGCTCTACTCCTTTGAGCCACAGGCGCCGCCACCATGTAGCTCATTTTTAAGATTAAAATCACCAGAATGGAACTTCTCATACCACTGACATATTGTGGGTTCATTAGCCACATCCTTCCCAAACACTTCCTTGATATTTTGAGCCATTTGCATTACATTGGTTTCACGATGGAATTAATATTAAAAAATACCACAAATTTTTTATTTATCCATGGTTTCACAGTGACACCTATGGCTCAGCTGGTAGGGGGCTGGCCCCATATGCTGAGGGTGGTGGGTTCAAACCCAGCTCTGGCCAAACTGCAACAAAAAAATAGCTGGGCATTGTGGCGGGCACCTGTACTCCCAGCTACTTGGGAGGCTGAGGCAAGAGAATCACCTAAGCCCAGGAGCTGGAGGTTGCTGTGAGTTGTGACGCCACCGCACTCTATGGAGTAAGGACTATGGAGTGAGACTCTGTCTCTAAAAAAAAAAAAGATGAAAGATATCACGAGCCAAAATGGGCACTTGAAAGAATGAAGACATCTCAAC